CTTCATTTTCTGGGATTAAAGAACATTATTGTTTAGAGTAGAGTAGAAATTTTATAGGACTATCATAAGAAACGGTATTATTTATATCGTACCAGAAGCCGGATTCTAACTAAACTTCGGTTTGATATTGATTCCAATGTCATGTTGTTATCATACCTAAATGATTCAGTGTGATAGTTTTTCACACTGCCATAATAATTTCGATAGTAGAAAACGGTTGGAACCAAGGCGACATCGAAATTATTTTCAATCGTCAAAATTCAGTTAGAATTAGGCACCAGGATCGTGCACCCGTCCGTATAAGAATCTTGAAATCAACTAATTTGTTTTTTTTTCAGAGAAATCCATTTTTGAGTTATCGCAAGCTACAGCAACAAGTCCTCTGGAGTGAAGGTCACCATTTCAAAAATAATTTTGCAATCAGTTCTCTTGAGTCAAGGTCGAAACAGTTTTCACACTTGAACTAAGGGATGTCTGCTTGTAATTAAGTGACCAATTGAAGCTCTAAGGATCTTATTCAGAGTTCCCTTTCATTAGACTATGATGTCAGGAGATGGACATAACTATAAGCTGATTTAATGCCTCTGGCTAAAAATACTGGTATCATGTCATAAGGCGGATTATTTTTTGTGCACATTCTGTGTGTGCCCACGCTCGTATCGGAAACCCCGGAGTCATTCTTAGGACCAGGTGACACGCCAGCACTCCCATATATGTGCTCAGATCATTGGCGTATCAATGGAATTTCAAAACAAAAGGGGTATGTGTAGACCGTTGTGAAGGCAACGTGTCCAAGTGGCGTTTACAGGGAAAAGGTTAATTCTGTGCAAGTAAAGCGAAACCCCGTTTAGCTGAGGATGCGTTGTAACAGGATAACGCGTTGGCGAGCATTCAGATTTGAAACAAGTTAAATCTTCAGGAAACTTGTTTGAAGCATGTACTATCCTCTAGTTAGTTACGCTTAGTAGCCACTACAATGCCATGTTACTAGGAATGTGAGAATGATAAAAGGAAAATCGATTTTTTTCTTCAACATTAATCGATTTGTGAGAAACCGATTTTTCTTCTTCATTACAATGAAGTCAGTGAACTTAGATTTATTGTTTTCAACAGCATACTACCTATATTATGGGGAATGGAAAAATGTTTAATACTATATTTTGTTGTGACGGCGGCCATTTTGGATTTATTTTAAGGTGTATCGCATTTCTCTAGTCAAGCTCTTCCATTTGATACCAAATTGAGGGAGTTGAGAAATAATATCTTATCATGTAACGCCTGAAACTTATCATGTGCTCTTCATGCCGACAGGGCTCCACTGATACTGAAAAAACGTCAAGTAGGTTGACTCTGCACGCATCGCTGTCGTCAGCTAATAAACGGACTTGTATAACAAAGAAATTAAGTGAATCAAGTTAGTTAAACATCCATTTTTTGTACAAGACAAGGACATATGCCACTGGCTTTTCAAAAACGTTTTCACACAAAGCTGTCTCTTGCCGATGGATGGCAAATACGCTTCCCATGAGAAAAATTCTTGCGGGCACACAAACAAGATCGAAACTATATGTACATCTGTAGTTGATGACGGTCCACATCCGGTCGAGCAGCGGAGGTCGACTGCTACACATATGCATCGGCAGTACCGCGAAGCGTTTGATCGAAAATTTGAGATATACCTTTCCTCACCCCAAACAATCCCCTCCCCCCAACCTTTTACAAAAAGTTGTCCAAAAATGATCAGGTCCTCTTGAAATGTTAAAAACGACGTTTGAGCGATTCCTTTTTCTTTACTTTTTTGCACATAGCGCAACAGGCACTGAACCAGTTTTCAAATTTATGAAGCTTTTTCGTTCTTGGCATAGTAGTACCTAACTTTGTGTGAAAATTTCATGAAAATCCGAATTTTCAAGAAATACCAGTGTCAGGGGTTAGCGGACAGGCAGACAGACCGACAAACAGACAGACCAATGGAAGTATGTAATACCCAAAAGACATGATATCTCATTTTCGAAATTTTTCGCGATTACAATACCTACACGCCAGTGGCGTAGGAAGTCAAAGTATTTCAAACGTGTATGGTTTCATTCAGCGGCTAAACAACCATGCAAAGTTTTTACTGTAACTTCCTGTTTATACTGCAGTCATTGAAAGGCGCTATCGTTTAGTGAAAGGTTGAGTCTAAAACAATCGAAGAAACTGCTAAACGCTAGCCGCGACTCGAAAAACTGAAGAGTGCTGCAGATACACATCCAGTAGGAAGCATATAAGCATTTACGTCTATTCACAAAATTTTACTATATACTACTATACTCACCTACGGCACTGGTTGTCCTGCCTTGCAGCCATTTCCAGAGATTAATTTTTAACAAAAGGTGGCCGAGTACCTTTTCACATGAAAGAAAATCACCGTCGACCTCTGGGCTTTTCAAAAAGTAAAAATTAACTGAGAGATGCCCTGATGAAAAGGATATATCTGACGCAATTGGTTCGATGTCGCCTTCTACCTGTCCAGGTTTCCCGACCCTATATGCGTTTTATTATGCTGTGTGACTTTTTATTCACTGCTCTATTGGCCGACAAAGACCTCTTATTTTTGACTAGTTCGCTATGCGTTTACAAAGAAACAGCAAACATCTCACATGAGGTGAATACAAAACGCCAGAACGCTAAAGCTTTTTTAAACATCAACAAACTTAGCCCTTTGAACCTCTTCACAACTTATCTTTATATACCGATCCGTAAACAGGAGATAAACACTTTTATATAAGCGTTATTTTTCATAGGCCGTCCAGCTTTAGGTTTGCTATTTCTTTATATCCAGAGAATTTCACGTCTTTACTTTCAACTGGTCTGGCAAGACTATCTACCACTCATCACTATTTTTATTGTATAATCTAGATAAAATAAAGTATAACGCTCAAAAAAGGAATTAGTTATATGTAGTTTAACTATTCCCATCATAATTCAAATAGGAAGTACAGATACAAGAAAACCTGTCACTGTGCATTGGCCGCTAAATGGCTTCAGGCAATATAAGCTAAGAATATGTAACCTAGAAGACGTTTGTGTCTCAAATGAATGAACAAGATGACCTCAGATATCTTGCATCTCCAGTCGCATATCGACAGGTTTCTCACAGGCACTTATCACACGAAAGAAAGATGTTCGTCCCACATGTTTACTGTTATCTGTACTACTTTGTAATAAAACGGAAAAAAGCAGAATACCAAGAATTTATGTACCTGTTTCTGATAATAAAGAAATAAGGAATATCGAGGGCTCCATTGGATCGTACAGGATCGTATTACGATTATTATGTACTTACCACTATGAAGTGTTGGCTATTAGGTGTTCATTTTATTACCTGAACCTTCAGATACTATTCAGCATGAATTGCTCAGATCCCAGACACCACAAAAAATATTTTCTTAGAGCTGCTGACCAAAGACTTAGGGCTGAATAAAAAACACTCACGGGAGATCGGGGCCCCTAGCTTACATCACACAACTTCGGCCTGAACTCATCCAGTCGATGGTGAGGCTTATGTCGTTGGTTTTTATATCACGAAGACTTTCGATCATGTGTGGCCTGCTGCCTTTTTATGCAAACTTCCATCCTATGGCCTCCCAGCTCTGCAGATGGCTGGTTGACCACTTCTCTTTCCGAAAGCTATGCGTCGTAATTATTATTATTCTCCAGGGATCAGTGTGGGCTCTAGCATTGTACGATCAATCCGATCGGCAGTCTGAATCCGAGCTGATCGTTGCTGATGGGAAGAAGATTAGAAGCAGCTTCCTCTGTTATCGCTTCTTGGGGACGCAACAGTGAATCTGGTACAGTTTTATGCTTTCAAAACGAAAACTTTACCTTAATTAACCACAACCGTAATAAGCTCAGCGGGTTCGTTTCGTCTGGGTCCGGGTCACCGAGAACTAGATTTGGCTTGAAAACATCTTATCAATCGCTGCAAATGCTGGAAAAAAGCTACGTTACTCGTTTGGGGCTGACAAGTACTTTTCTCGAGTGCTGCTCACATATCTGGGGTTCTGATGCCCCGAATACGTTATCTATACTCGATGCTGTTAAGAGGCAGGCTGTTCGACTGATCGATAACAGACAAACAGACCCAGAACCCTTGCGCACCGACAGACCTTCAGCAATCTAGCTCTTTATAGCTATGTATGGGCCCTCCTCCATGATGCCACCGCGTGGTGTGTCTGCCAGACAGACTGGTCAGACATCGGCCTCTCATCCTAACCGAAACGAACTTCGTCCATGGTCAGTACGAGCGGTAATTTGGAACAACAAGGTGTCTTCGAGGTCTTTATAGTAGTCGCCATCTTAATACAGACCTGGACGTAAGCCGATCAGACGTTCGCCGATGTGCGTTTTGAAGGTGGTCGGTGGTGTGTGTAACTCGTTTGTTTCAAAATAAGTGAAGATGTGTCGCAAGCACAGTGGATCGTTTATGTAGGGTTTAGTTACAAATTAACTTATCTCAGGAGGCGATTGATATTACATACGACCATCTGTATCGAATAACTGCAGCAGTAGCTTGATACCAAAAAAAGATGTTAATCCCATGATTTCATTGAAGCTTGATACAGGGAGACTTAAAATAGGGAGCTTCAACCTTACACCTTTCGTTGTTGTGTATTGCTTCACAAACGTTCTGTCAAAACAAACACTAACGCGAGAGGTTTAAATGCGCGCTTTCCTGTTGACTAGCTGGCCAGGAATGCCTGGGCAGGTAGCAACAAGCAAAAAGAAGCGACAATCTAGAGCTCCTGTTTTTTTTTCGACGCGGAGTAAAAGTGGTTTGAATAGACTTGAGGATATACCGTATAAAGCTGCCGAATATGACAGTTGCATTGTTGGTCCGATCGCCATTGAGGATCAAGCGGCAAAAAGAAGAAGAAATCATACAAACTTCATTAGAAACTGTTGCGTATAGTTGCTAGTAGTTGCAAGCAATGTCAGTATGAAGAAGGACAAAGTCACAGCAATCTGCCTTTCACCCTAATGAACGGTTCATCTAATTTAAAGGATAGAATATCAGGGGTGTGGACAGAGGTCTGAGATAACGGAGTTATTCCTGAAATCAGAATCTTCGAACAAACTAAAGCTAGAGCTGCCCATTCAAATAATGTGGATATCGAAGTAACCGAGGACTAACCATTCGTTGCTAAAAAGCCAAAATCACGACTCACACGCAGTTTTCCCTTACGAGACGATTCGCACTTGAACGGAAAAACTGCGTGTAAATGGTGGTATCAACTTTCAGGAAACAGCTAGTCAGTCCCTGATTCCCCAGATATCGGCTTTCAGCTATGCATGTTGTGATTGCCCGTAGGTGGTAGACGGTTTTTGATTGTCGAACGCGGAGGCACCACTTGGAGGATCTCTAAGACGAAGCCAGATGTCGCATGCACCCATGTTCCTTCGCTAGAGATCATGTGGTGTCCCCCCTTTCCTCTGTATCCCTCAGCATGCTGGCCAAGGACCAGATTCCCAAAGGAGTGGGAAGATTTTTGGAGCAAAACAGTCGTAGACAAGTGCAGGGTGCCCTTAATTTTCGGACCTTGCGTCACACAGCGTATAGTTCATGCAACAATAGTAGTAGGAAAATATACACCAAAGCCTCAATATATCCAAAATATTAACTTCAGAAAAAATCTGGTATTAAAACGAATTAAGTGCGTCAGTATTTAAATTAGGAGATGCGTCGTGTGTAGGTTAACCTAGCTGTTTACTTACAAATGGGTTGTGATAGAAACAAAAGTGGCACATCCTTATAACAAAGACGAATCCATCGAATATATCCAGATCATTTTCCTGGATGTTTCCGTCCCGAGCCGCGTTGGTTTGTTTCTGTCGTGCAAAGGCGGTCGGGGATGATACCGTAGAAAACCAAGACAGTCCCCACTGTTGCAATAGGGAGAAGTTAAGAAACTTTTGAACTGAACGGTGACGGCTTTAAATAGTATTTACGAGCAACATGCGACAGGACAGTACTTGAAATTTCTCATCAAATGGATATCGAGAATCCATCTTCAATTTATTTTTATCCGACAGCAACAGAGGGAGGCGTATGTTTTTCACGCGAAATTCTATTTCAGAGGCTACATACCAAACAACGATTCACACTGGCCAAAAAAACCACTTGACGGATTAGTCTTAACAGTGCGAGTGACAATGGCTAATTGAAATTTTATATAAACAAAATGGCGGTTTTTATCAAAAATTCTCAACTTTGAAAATACTATTTCACGGGCTACAGCTTAAACGGCCTGGTGGTTTTTGCCATATGAAGTGTCTCTAGGTTTGTCATGACAGTGTGAGTGGTACTGGGTGTCATAAAAGCAAGACGGTGAATTTCAACAAAAATTCTACCTTGAAATTCTTATTCCACCGGATATACCTTACACGGCTTGAAGGATGAATTTTGACATACTTTTCTCTTACACTCTTCCTATAATACATTTCTCTTGATAGCACAATTAGATATTAATTTTTTTGAGTGACTGCTATTGGGTTGTTTATGTTTTTCAAGCACTTCGCTGTATGAGGTACATCTTGGACAGCGATTTCCGTCGTTGATATGACCCCAACCGTGCATTTCCGGTCGAATATTCAAATATACCCGGACCGATAACCTCTGGCGCACCATCGATTCACACCTACATCTTCACGGTACCAAAGTCTGTTGCAGCCAGCCGCATTGGCATTACGGCATTACCATCTGAAAGAACGACAGACTCATTCATGGACAGACTGGCCCATTCATCACGACATCAGCGCGTCTTCCGACGTGGAGATCGTCGTCGACGGAGACGTGGTCGTCGTCTTCGAGGACCGACTCCCATTACCATACAATGAGATGGGGGACGCACCACCACCGGCCCACCACGGTAAATAACTCACAGATGCAGTGCCACTCCTCAGCCTCGGGGATGCCATGCAGCGTCGATTTTCAAGTTTCAATTCCTTTGACGAATTTTCAGACTACTTTTTTGTCTTTTGCATGCTAGAGAATCTACGCGTATAGAGCAATAAGCAATAACCGTGAAAGGAGCGTATGGTATACGATACAATAGCGAGAAATCGGTATTGGAAGCGAAAGATATTTTTGGGCATAAGTGTACTATTGCTATTTATCACTACAATGATGTGATACTGTTTATATCATGATATGGATTAATTTTGTAAAACTTCAAATGACTGAAAACGTAGTATTTCTATAATTGATCTTAATTGATGTAGGGATAGTATTAAAAGCATTGGAGGCAGTATTATTTTATGTGATCGATATAAACGTTATAGAATAACTAAAAGCCTCGATGATGTTGCAGGTTACTAAGTACATTTCACGCTTTCAAGCAAACTATGCTTTTAAAAAAAGGAAAGCTTTGTTTGATAAAGAATTGTTAAGTAATTACTCACTGCTACTACTACTATTAATGTAAATTTTGAATATTCCCATACAATTTCAGAGCTCTACTACTATTTGTTAGCGAAATACGATTGATACAAGAACTGCAGAAATGCCTTTTTTGACAAAAGAAATTAATATTGTTTCAGTCATCTCTCAGTCCACCACAAAGCAATCGGACGGAAAAGTTAAAAATGCTCCTTCAACCAGGCTGTTGGAAAAAAGATGGCTACCTTAACGCGGCATGAACCCACTATAAATGAAGTGTTAATGAATTATTTCAATAATTTGCGAATGTGCTATATTTGAAACGGGATACGATGTGTTTTGCTACACTAATCCGTTTTGGTACCAGAGTATGAATCCAGTTCATTACTAAGGAACCAATTATTATTAGACATCACTCCTATATAAGACGTCTATTGTAATTAGCACCTAGTTTACCTCGAACAAAATGGGCATTGCCAAGAAGCAATATGCTGCTGTATCGTTTCAAAGTAAAATACACTTTCTGCTAACCCAACACCAGAAAAAGGCGAATCGATAACTTATCCTCACGCGAACTTTTTCCTCGCAACTATAAAATTCACTTTTCCAGCGATATTTCATATCGCGAAAATGTAAATACGACAAACAACATTTTTCCACATTCTGCTCCATTGTCGCCTGGCGGAATTTGCATAAAAAATGTCGCCGTATCTACAAAAAGAACCTAACGAATGGCGGGCTAGCGCTAGCTCAGGAAGCTCGCAATTTGGTAACGGAAGTAGACCAGGCGTACGTAGTTGCGAAAAAGCCATGTTTATATCCCCCATTTTGTATGCTGCTGTGCACGCGGGGGATTTTTTAGTAGAAAAGCAGCGTATTCCGCTCTTGAATCAGCACCGTTTGCGTGTACAGACAGTTTTATTTTGAAATGTCTATTCCGCCAGCGACCTACAAACCAAAATATTAGCACCAGAAAACCAATATTTTGGAAGTTTTTTAAAATGCCTTTGCCACCGAGTTTTGAACATTAACAACCTTATACTTTTGAATCAATAACTCATAGTCTATAACACGAAAAGCACTGGTCTGGCTCTGATAAAATGTCGAAACAATTCCAAATCTACTACTAAGTATACTACATTTTCCATTAAAATTAGAAAGTTTTAGCAATCACAAATAAGGCATATATACATGGAAAGTTTGACGTTTAACTCATTAGAAGTGAAAGGATTATGGGTTATTGTTATCGTTTACGCTTGCGGTATTTGTGATTGCCAATATGCTCTATTGTCTGTAACCTTAAAGAGGCTTAAAGTCAGTCATGATTAAGTCAACACAACCAGTCAACTTTTGACTACATTCGAGTCTTTTCAAGAGACCAATTCTTTTCTTTTACTCATGTACGTAGTCCAGTTTATTTTGAGAGCGACTAGTTTTTCCTTCTTTCGATTTAGCAGCGACTACCACATCAGGTAACTCTCCGCTCTTTAAGCAAAATTTGAAAGAAAATCATGAAAATTATTTTCTCTGAATCATAGTTCGTTATTAAAATTAACTGATGTCAAAATATGAAATTCAATGGCGACCAATGATTTTTCCATCAACTATACTGCCAAGCTTCTAGGATTTTTTCCTAACCTCACACATTTGACCTTCATTTTACATTTAGAGGTTCTGTTGATCTTGGATATTAATACATATTCGTACGTAGAACTTTCCACTCTTACGATTACTGATGACACTAATTGGACTTACCACTTAAAAAATAAAAGATAACCGTCAAATAATCTTGTAGTTAAGGCACAAGGTCAAGTGGAAGGCCACCATTGGGGTCAATCGAAGATGTATAGATCTGATCTTGACCTTTTTCAATATAGAGCATATTTATTACACCCAGTATGATAGTGTATTGTATGTATGGCGGTTGAGTTACAATGACGAAATAAGTAAACAAGATGCACAACTGTATCATGTACAGAACTAGCTTCTCTAAGGGAATTTGCATTAAGCAAGTCTATATTTAACGTAGCTGCTACTCGCTCTTGCACACACAAATGGATGGGTGATAGAAGACTGTTGTCTTTATTCACTTTTACAAAGTATTCCACTAAATTAAACTTAGACTGTCAACATTGTAGAGTAGATATATCTTTCGGCATTGCCATGTTTTATATCGAAGCTTAAATAATTTCTGAATGTTTAATATGGCTCGCCAAAAACCGTGAAAGGATCTATATGTACTTAGATTCACTGCATATTGTACCATCCTCATTAGCGAAAGCTGTAATTTAGAAGGAGAGCCTTCTTTCCCAAGAGACCAAAAGCATTGTTTATTGTTGACAGCATCCCCAGTATTTTGTATTTCATATGTTGTTACTGGTAATCATTCAATTCTGGAACGCTCTGTATATAACTCAGAAATGGGTCACCAATCGTAGTACCGAGAATCCGTTAGGCAACAGAGGTCAAGCCCCCGCACTGTTCTCCCAGCATAGCAATACCATCCCAATACCATGGGCGAGAAAAGGGATGGTTCGATGGTGCTGTGCTGCAAGTTCGCGAAGGTGTGAGAAAGGAAGTGTTGAAACGGCAAACACGAACCATCTTCGCAGACGGTGAGTCACCATTAAGTGTGTCCTATTTGGGACGAGCAAAAGTGCTTGCAACATGCCTTT